GCTCCTCCATCGTGACTTAAATGAGCCGTCAGCCGCCTAGTCAACTCCCCAACCAATCGCCGTAATACTAGTAAAAGTTTGCCATGAATTCATGGACTCGACGCCCAATATTTCCACCTGATGGATCCATTTCCATTGGGGGAATAGAACAGGCACAGCTGGCTGCAGCTGCTTTTCCTTCTATATTTTTTTTTTGTTCTCTCTTCCTCATTCGGGAAACTAGAAATTCAATTCGTGACGTGAAATGTAATATTCATTAAAATTATAATGCGCACACGTTAGTTTAGAGCTGGGCAAAACGAGGCTCTAGTTCTGGACCCAGGATGGAATTCCCAAAAGCCCGGCAGGATGTGCACTGATGTGTGTGGATTTTCCGCATATTCCGCCCATTGCAGCCGCATTTTAGGACTAAATCCGCTCAGTGCAGTTTGGCAAATTGTGCAAGCGCCGCCGCTAACTTTTGTGCCTATGAGGAAATGAGAGTGGAGGGAAGGATGGTATGTAGGTTTGCTGCCAGGACCCTCACCCTCACACAAGTGTCTGTAGTAATTGCCGCCGTGCCGTTGATTACACTTCAGCATGCGCATATACACAGCTCCCTCTACATAAACTTCGCGAACACACACCCACACCCAACCAACCCCATTTTCATGGTGGTGGAACTCGCCCGCTGGGCTTTTAACTGCGCTAGTTTCAGCCATAAACTCGAGCTTCAGAGCTGTGGAACTGCAGCTGCATCTGGAGCTGAATCCAAGCAGAAGCTGGGCCAGCACATGATTGCCAGCCGACAAAGTTGGCGTTAACGTTTTCTTTTATTGAGTTCATTAAGAGAAAAGCTTGTTGTTGGGTTCATTAAAAAGTGAATCAGTATCTGTTTTACTTTATTTTAAGTGTTTAGAGGTCTGGTTTGTAGATATAAAATCAAACTATTAACAAGTCTTTTTGGGAAGTAGGTAAATCATATATTTTATTAAATTTATTATTGGTTTATTAAAAATATAATAAATACTTATCAGTATTATAAAAAATCAGCATAATTAAGTGCTTGTTTTGATTAATATTCTAGCTTTATATTTTACAAATCAAATGGAAAACTTTAGTCACCTTTTTTGCTTATATGCATATATGGATGTGTGCAGTCCTGGTCCTGTCCCTCTTTAGTTCGAGAGCTTTGGATCCTGAGCTAAACGTCTGCTTTTACCGCCACCCCGCCTTTTCCACATCGTTTTGGGCTCTTCCTGTGTGAGCTGCGGCAACAGCTATATTTGAATATTTAATTTTTTAGCGAGCTGGGAACATTTCGCACTTTGAAACCTGACGCTAAACGATGCCAGACCTATCGTCGTTACTTGCCACCCCACCCCCTCTGGGTGTGTGTGGGCTTTGGCAGGGCAAACAAAATGTTTTCCACACCAAATGATGGCGTCCATTGATTGAGAGTTCAATGCTCTCTTTTTGAGGACACCAAACCCAATTGGCTTTCGTCCGAAATCATCAAAAATTCCATAATTAATATAATTCGGACACGAGTCAAGTTTGATGGGCCGGCGACCACGCCTTCTTTTACCCAAAAACTGTCCATTTTTCACCTGTCATCTTTTTTAATTAAAAGAATTCCGCTTTAATAAATTCAACTTTGACAGCAGGCGAATGGCAGAAGGTGCCAGGCAAATTAATGAATGAATTGTGTGAGTGAAAGAATGAACGAATGGGCCGAATGGCCCACTGATGAATGCACGCAGCTCATGTTTAAGCCTTTGCCCAGTTAACTGGGCAATAATTTAAAAGGTCTTTCAATATTTAATTGACTTGGTTTAAGGGAATTCACGGACAATACCTTTTGACGAAAAGAATGGCATTGAATGCAGTAAAGGATTGTCGTTCGTAGTAATCGGTTTACGTTTCCTTTGCACTTTTTAAGAGAACTTTGGTAATATTTAAACCACAAATTATGTATTTTATGTTATTAATTCAAAGTTAACAGCGAAATTAACATTTTAAATCCTACTTTAAGGCACCTTATTGGTCGATTTCACATCATTTGAAATTCCATTAATTTCTGTCATTTAAAGTATTTATTCTGAAAATATTTCTCATTTCTCTATTTCGCATTTTCATTCTTTATGCAGTTTTTGAAGAATTTTCCGAGGGAAATTCCATTAATCCGTTTGACATTTCGCCGTTGCGTTGAAGCGACCCAGTTTGACATCGACTTGCAGTGCAAAAATCTCGAAACTTTTTATTTTTCCTCCTCCTATTTTCAGTTTCACGAAATAACCGAAAAGAGCACGTTGAAGGGGTGGAAAACGAGCAAGTTGGGCCAAGAGGTTTTTGGGAGGGACGAAAGTAGCAAAAAAGTACGCGCCAAACTGTATGACATTATGGCCATTGCGAGGAGTTGTTGCTGTTGTTGTTGTTAGCCCACGCGCTCTACGTGCAATGTCACCCATAATGTCACCCACATATAGTACACAAAACACTGTAAAAAATATGTTAGGTCATATTTTATAGCCTAAATTAAAGGTATTTTCTTTTAGCCAGGTATTTTTAGGTTACCTCTCATTTTTCAAGACATTTTTACAGAAATGTTTATTATTTCTATATTTTATTCTTAAATAATTTCAAACTAGTGATCATTTTTTCTCTGTGTACCAAACTTATAACCCACACATACACATTTCTACTCATACAAATCCACTCACACTCGCAAAAGCTTCCGCTCTGGTTGCATTGTTCATTTAAATTCTAATTTGTATTTGGTGCACTCGACAGTAGGACAGCCTTCGGCGGATTAGGGGGCGTGGCAAGGGCCAGAGCAGGGTTTTTTCCTGGGTGGCAGGGACACGTTTCCTGTCAGTGGACAGGTGGTAGTGTACAGGTCGACATGGGGACCGACTTGGAACCTCCCAAATGTCCCATTCTCCACTTACAGAATGCACAAAAAGAAGCCCTGCCGTGTCCCAATAATGTCCTTGAAAAAAGGCAAATTCGACTTGTGAACTTTCGTTACCTGTTTTCGTGGGCGTAGGTGAGAGACTTGCCCCAATGGGCGTGGCCCACACATATACACACCCACAATTTGTTATTGTTAGAAGTTCATCTTGATTCCGCTTTTCGCTGCAAATTTGAATTTTCCCGGAGATTTGCAATCATATTTTCAAGAGAGAGAGAGAATTTTATTTCGGTAGCAAAAGTCCCCTAAAATTATTGAAAAACCATAAAGCAACTAATTTTGATAACAGGAAGTTTTGGCAAGTTTTTTTTTTCACAAAGAAAATGTGCAAAACTTTCGGTTAGCTGGGGAAAATTTAATTTTATTTCAGAAAGATTTATTTTTTTTGGCTTGCTAAGTAATAAATTTAAATTTGGGTGTTGGTAAATCTTAAGTTTTAGAAGAGTGCAGTTTATAAACAATAATTTGGTGGAAATAAATCAAGAAAAGTTAGAACTACATACGTATATAGGGAATTCCCCTTTAACCACTTGGATATTCCATGACTCAGTTCGAATTTAGGCCAAGGACCTTATCTATGTTATCCGTAGGTGCAAAGGTTAATTTGCAGCTATATATATATATCGCCGATTGTCTCGCACAATTCTCTCCCCCTTTTGGGTTTTTCCAATCTAGAATTCTCTTATCTCATTGCATTGCTGGCATAGTTGGCTATCGGCCATTCCAATCTGTAGGCTCCCCCGTTTTCCGACTTTTCCCTTGCAATTTCCCCGCCAGTTAAGCCGACATGTCGTTTCATTTAAAGTTTATCGCGTTTCTCCCCTCCCTTGCCCTCTCTCTCTCTCTCTGGTCCCTTTTCCACTTTCCTTGGTTTTTAGTGGGCATTCTGAGTTTTTTAATTCAGTTGCAACTGAGTTTGTTGTTGGCTCTGGCTACTGGGCTGCTTTAGTTGATTAAAAACCGCACTCAAAGTGGAAATGCGCTTTTCTTTGTTCCCTATCTCTCTCTCTCCCTCGACGGTCCCCCTCTCAGCCAGTGTGTCTTATGGCTTTTGTTCTGGAATTTATAGCAGGTTTAACCCACTTCGCCGCAATGTTCTCGATTTCAAACCCCCCCCCAAGGCTGTCGGCCATGTAAACTTTTTAAATTAGTTGTCAAATGCAAGCTGCTAAGCGGAATACGATAACACACACACACACACACAGGCAACAAAATAATATATATGTACACAAGGGAAAATCGCTAACTGGCATTAATTAAAAGGCGAAATATTTCCAGAGTTTTATGTCCGTCGCGGCATGCTGCATATTATTGCGTGCCGCAAGTGCATTGACTTTCCGCCGCGAATGAAATGCAATTCAATGGGAAATTGTTGTTAAAATGTTTCGGCTGGCTTATACTCCCCGAGAAACGCAAACATAAATCTAAGATAAGGCTATTAAACAAAGTTTAACTCGGGATAGTTGCTAATGCTGCACGGAAAGAAATCAAACGAACATTAATGTCACGATTTCAATTGATTTTAAAGCTACACTGGGAAAATTATACTGAAAGGATCAAGAAATTGTAATAATATCAGTTTAATTTTTTATTGTTACATATTCCAAAGTAAATTTTTGTTAATTTTTATGGAAATTGAAATGTTTAAAATAATTATTTTGCAGGTTTTTACTTTTCACATTCTATATTTTCAGCAAACAGTTTTAGAAATACAAAGACTTCTGTATAAAATATATTTAAAAATTAAGTTTATCTAGTTTATTTTTGTAACAATTTATAGTTTTCCTAAGCTATGTTTTTTTACAATTTTGACTTGTACAGTTTTTGTACTTAATAAACAAGAAACTCCTGAAATGGTTTAGTACTTATTTTAATAAATTTTGTATTTATATAAACCATAAATAAACTAAATCCAAATATTCTTCAAAAGTGAAAATTTTGATTTAAATTAAATTAGTTTTCTTTTCTTCAATTTTGTGGAAATTTTCTCGCAGTGCAGCTTAACTGCCGCCTTGGCTCTTTGGTTGCTTAGTCGATTGTCCTCGTTTCAGACCTCGTCGTAGTTGGGTTTATCGCCGAACTTGACGGATCCCCGCTGGCGTATGTTGTCGCGGGTCTGCCGCTTGTACTGACCCTTGGCCACCACCTTGGTGGCAGATGCCAACGGCTGCTCAAAGGCCACGGCACTGGGTCCAATGGGACTGGTCAGCTGGAAGCTGCTGTGGGCCACATCCGAGGGCCACTTCTCGCCATGCATGGCATCCACGAGGGCCTCCTCCAGTTCCTCCTCCTCGAGCTGCTGCTTGTGCAGATGCTTCTGGTGGCGCTGCTGATCCCGGAGACGGGCACGCAGACTGCTCATGGAGAAGGAGGGCGGCGTAGTGCTGCCCTCGGAGTGGTCATCGCTTTCTCGGATTATATAGACCTCCTTCTGGTGATGGTGTTTGCGGGGTCTCTTGGTGCTGGTCTCACGCTCGCGTTCCCGCTCCCTTTCCCTTTCCCTGAACTTCTTTAAGAACGCGGGAGGATAATTGGGTGCCTCTGTGGTGGTCGTAGTCGAGGTGGTTGTACTGGCTGTAGTCCTTTGTCTGGGTCTAGGAGCATGGTGCTCTACAAGGTGTTCTCTAAAACTCAATCCCTGACTAGGCACAAAGCCACTCTCCATTGAGGACGACGGCACCGACTCCACTTCCTCGCTAGCTTCACCTGTATGCTCGGTGACCTCGTATCGATGACCCGTATGCTTGGCCACTTCGTTCTCCGTCTCCTCGTCCTTCTCCTCATCCCTTTCGTACTCATAGCTGACCAACTTCTCCGGCTTGGGCAGCATTTCATGATATCCACTGGATATATCCGTGTGTAGATGGGTCAAGGCCTGGGGTCTCAGGGTCACAAATGTGGAGGGATGTTCTCCCGGCTTGTAGACTGGCTTCCAGCTCTGGTACTCCATAATCTTTCCGGAGATCACCTCGTTGGTGGTGGAGCCCCCGTGTGGTCGCTTCTTAAAGTATTTATTCATGATGGCTTCATCACTGGTCATGGGTGCCTTGCCCTCGGCTATGAGCTCCTGTTCCTTTTCCAACTGTCTCATCTGTTGCTCGTAATTGATAGTCGATGTCTCGATGACCATGGGCTTTGCCAGAGGTCTCCTGATCTTCACCACTTTCTTGGGCGAAGGTCGCATTTTGATGATCTTCATTGGCTTGTTGTTGTGCGGATTTCGGATGATGTACCGCACACGCGTCATCTCCGTGGGCTGCAAGTCAATGGCCGCTGCCAACTTTTGGCCATAGCTTGCCGTGCTGGGCAATAGGCCTGTGATCATTGTCTTCATGGCCCTGGCTCCGTGATACATTCGTCCAAGCACGCCACCCATCACCGAGTTGTTCATCTCCTGCCACATGAAGCGTCTTTGGATTCTGTGGAGGAAAAGTGAAAGCCAATGTCCGGGGTCTTTAGACGATTATCTGTTTACGATGATCATGAAATCTTGTAGTACTTTATTAAAGATTAATTAATATTTGGAAGAGTGTTTGTTAGGTTGAGAAATTGTCTTATAAACTTGTAATTAACTAACTATTAACTCAGTTTTAATAGAGTTTTATTCACATTATTATTATAATGAACAACTTCTCTATTAATAAAAGGATTTGTAGTAACCAAAGTCCTCGTTTATCAATAGAAATACTCTAGATAAACTCCAAATCTTCAGGGTCTTTTAGTTTTAATTCATTATTTAGTTAAAATTAAATATTTATTGCCTTTATTGACTCACCTGTGATCTTCTCCCTGGTGTTCGCCACTCACAAATATGATCTTTAGCAGCAGGAGCAGCCAAAGCCAATTTATCTACGAAAGTTGAATTATAATCCAATATATCCAAACCGGATGCAAATGTGTATGGGTTGACAATGTGTCAATTAGCAGCTGACTTCCTCGGTAATCCACTTCTGGCTTACTTACGCAATGCTTCCTCATGTCTCCGATCGTGAGTGTGAATATATTCCCACCGTTCGAATTTGAATATATTTTGGGCGGCGAATCGAGAGCTCCTCGGATCGCGGCAACTTGCAAATTTCAACTGTCGGCGGCTGCGCGGCAAGCACTTGCTTTTATATACTATTTGGCGGTTGCCACGGGGCAAGATGCAAGTTGCAAGTTGCAGGTTGCTTTGCACGTTGTTGCTCCAATTATTGGCGGCGCTCGTTGGCTTTGAGCTTGGCATTGGCATTTTCGTTTTCAATTTTATTTCCATTTTCATTTTCATTTTCACTTTCGTGGGGAACAATGGGCATATAACTTACAAGAGCTGGCCGCCTTTCGTCTGGCAATTAGTTCCATTACTTTTCAGTATCTCAAACAGCCTGTGGTTTTGTCTAGCTGCATGGATTTTCCTTCCTTTATTTTTGTTGAGTTTTTATGTACATTTAACACTATGTACTTTATGTACTCTCGATTTTAGTAGCATTAGTTTCCGCGTGCATTTTCTTGCTGCTTGATTTCGCCTGCATTTTCCAGCTGCCTTGCCTACCGGGTGGCGTGAAATCTTTAAATAAGTTTTAAATATTTTCTTAAATCAGTGGAAAAAGCTTCGATTTTGCACCAGGCACCAGAGCACGATTGTTTAATTATGACTTAATATTTATTAATGAGCGTTTTCGGCCTCTGTTTTGTTGCCGGCACTTAAATTTATCGATGCCCAGGCATTGTTCATCATATATTGCATCCTCATCATCAGCGGTTTCATACAAAATATGGTTACAGAGGAGGGTTAAATAATAGTAATTGTTTCTTAATAACTTAAAATAGTGCCAGATCATTTTAGATAATATTAAAAATATTTTATGTAAAATGTTTATTGATAAACAACGGTAAAACACTTTATTTCTTATTGAGAAACCTATGGAGTTTATAGTTATTTTATTCTTTGACAAAATCAGCTTTTTATTAGAATAAAATGTTAATTTTATAGAAAAAATAACTTAATTTAAATTATTCTTGAAGAAAATTATATATGTAAAAGCGTAAATATTTACGAATTCATTTTCTCAAATATTTTTAAAAATATTTTTATTATTAGCCTTAAGAGCTATTCTTTTGACCGCTGCTGTGTCCGTTTAACCATTATCATCATCGATGGCCGATGATGGGCAGTGCAGCGCCATCTGTCGGGCGAAACGTGCCAAACGATTCGCTTCGGCAAATGACTTTGTGGCGTGTGTGCATTTTTCTGCTCCCCATCATCATCATTATCATCATCATAGTCATCCTTATGGCCATGGTAATGCTGTTGATATTTGTCGAGATCTCTTTTTTCTCTCTCCAACCCAAGTGCTCCACTCGAGCGCATTTATGGCTGCGGCAGGTGGCACCTCTTCAGAGTCGAATGCCTCATTATCGTAGGACGTGTATGTCAACTGCAAAAATGTTGGCGTATTTATTGAAATATCTTTCTGTGGGGGTCAGTTGGAAAATTATCGGGCATTTGTTTGTGTAATTTAAGTGGCTCAAACACATCAAACACAAACTACGGACAACAGTCTCTAATTAATTCGAAATTAATATGCCGAAATGGGTTTTCCTATTTGCTTTGTGACTTCCTTTTTAATTGGTCAAGTTGTGTAAACATGCATGAACTACTGAAATATTTGTACAAAAGATATGCTTCAATTCGATAAATTAAATTCCATCAATGGCTCAGATTTAATCAATGTAACTTTGAATTTTTATATGTTTTTTAATACATTGTAAAGCATCTTTAGGGTCTTGTTTAAACTGAAACTAATTGAAGCTGATAAATCGGAAATCATAGTGCTTTGGGTTTATCTAAGACGCGAATAACCTGAAAGAGATTTTTATTTAAATTTTGATAAGCCAGCAAAACCTTTGCCAAAGCTTCTATATAATTAAATCCTTTATGCCCTCAGGTAATTTTTAATTAAACGCCACGTCTTGAGTATTACCTAATGAGTAGTGGAGCTGAATAATATCTGGAAATACTTATTTCTCAATGCAATTTGTGTGTCAAGGTCTTAAGGCGGCTTATAAGCTCCTTTACGGTCTTATCAAAATGTAATAATTGCATTTGTGCACTAATTAAACATCTGCTAAGTACAACGAGAGCGGGAAGGGTAAGAAATTAATGTGTTTGTATATATTACACCATTCCTCTCACATCTTGATGGTGTTTGTTCAGCTCTTTGCTTCCTTGCTCGCACATTACGCATACGCAGCGTTGTACGTTCGACTGAAGCCTGGTTCAATACGCGTTCCATTCTACACGCTTCAGTCAATAATGTATTTAAAATGCCATTTGTGTAAATGGATTATGTAATCGATGCAACATTGTGGCAGTGACTGAGGCTAATGCAATATGCCTGCCGCTATACGAAAATCGCACATACGCCCCCATGTACGAGGAGAGTAAGTGCGTGTACATATGTATATATAGACATATTTGTGTTATTGCTGCCTAGCCTGACTTTGCTGATAATGCTAGCTTACAGCCAGAGTCCCGAACCGAAGCGAACTCCTTGTCGTTGTAGTCGTCCTTGCATAAAAGCAAATTGATGCCCTAAGCCAAATATAAACACAATAAAACCAAACAAGCCGCAACAACAATGAACCGGCACACACGTACACAGGAAAAAAATAATATATCCTAAATACAATTTATACTATAAATTAGTATTAGTATTTAAATATTAGATGTCCGCTAGGGTTTTCATGTTCGAATTCGTCTCTTGTTTTCCTGTATCTTGTTACTATTTTTTTCAGTGCAGACAACTGGTAAGCCTGGGGAGGAAAATGACAGGATAAGAGGAGTACCGGAGTGATGCTGCCACTGCCTCCTGTATCAGTTGGCCAAGCATAAGGCGAGAGCTAACTGCAAATTGTATGAGCTCGAATTTTGCCTCGATGCCACAGATTTTACCATCTCGCCCCATCTATCCCCCGTGTAGTCTTGTATCCAAAACGTTGATAACATTCACATTTCGGGTCTTAGGATAGACACTCTGCCATCCAGCAGACATCGCAACATGCTGGAAGGAAGGATAACAATGGCATTGGCCGCCTTGCCGCTGCAATAACTTGGACGAGTTAATGGAAACAGTCGCTAGAATTGGACCCTGATTGATACGGATCGATGGTCGCTTACACGAGACATTCAATAGTGGACAAAGTGGACAGTATAAGGCGTGGTCCGATTTACAGATGACACCCAAGAGCTGACATTGATGCAGTTTACGGAAAGAAAGAGTTATGGTTACAAGTCAGGCAGGATAAGTCAATGCAAAGAGGGTGTTTTGCAAAGTATAAGCATAGGAACTAGTAAAAATATATCAGTTTACTAGGTTTGGATTAATTTTCCCATTTAATTTAAAGGTAGATCCATTAAATGCAGCATAACTTTAAAATGAAATGCAGTTTAAGCTTAAAGAAATCGATATATACTGTTTTCAGTATACAATAATAATTATATGAAATCTTTATACATACATTCCCACATTGCCCGGCTCATTTGCATTGGAAAAATATATATATTTATTTTCATGTTCTGCCCATCTTTTGTGCTTTTTTCTTTTTTAAAAACCAATTTGTTGATACTGAGGCTGTTGTCTTTGGTTTTACTGTTGTTGTTGGTGTTACTTTTGTTGTTGGTGTTACTGTTGTTGTTGATGTTACTGTTGTTGTTGCACTTAATATTATTTTTACGTATATTTTGTGAGGATAAAAATGCATTTACCTGTCGTCCGCTAGTCACTTCCCTTTGAACTTTTTTCCTTCCTACGCTTTCCAGTTTTTCCCTTTGGAGTCTCCGCGTCAGTATCCTGGATATCCTGGTTGTTGTTGTTGTTGCAGGCACTGATTTAATGCCAGGGGCAAGTCCCTTGCTCTGATTTTATTTTTTTTGTATACCCTCATTTAAGAAGATTATCAAATTGGGTCAGATCATATGCATGCAGTGATCCTTACAACAGCGCTATTATATGTAATGTTAAGTATTTAAATTTTCATACCTTTTGTTTCTGGCAACAAAAGTAAGAGTATACTTCTTCAGCTCCCTAAAAAAAAAAAAATCATCTCTTTTTCAAATTTTCTATTATTTTTTTTTTTGTGTCGCTGCTGCTGCTCTCGTTGCAGCGACACCATTTTATGGTCGAAACTCACACACACACACACAAAAGAATGAGCTGAAGATATTGCGCATACGCCACGTTAGCCCTGTCTCCTCATCCATGTGAATGTGATTGCGACTGGGCCATCTCACAAAAGCTTTGAAGTTGCATAGATAAGCTTCAGTCTGGGAGTAAATGCTGCATAACCCCCGGCGATTTGGCCGCCAAGGCGACAACTTCCCGTGGAGAAAAACATAAACTTATGTCATAAGCCATAGCCCCTTGGCCAAAGCGCACAAGGGTCTCGGGTTCTCAGGTTCTCAGGCTTGCAGGCTCTCACAGCTACCAGTACCCAGGCATTAACCCATGTAAGCCGGAGCGTGGCAGACAATGGCCCGCGGGTTATATGGCTATAGGGATAGGGATATATACGGTCCACTAAAACAGAAACCAGAACGAAGGAAAAGTATAGTAGCCGGCAGACCCGCTCGCACACATTTTAAGCTTATTTAATGCGCGCATAAATTATTCAGAGGGGACAGCGAGGGGGGTAGGAGGGAGCCCTCCGTGTGGGCCAAAAAGCTTCGCGTTCCGGGCATACTCAATTATTTTAGTTTATGTTTGGATTAGTGGTCAGGAGCAGGACTATGGCCCACTCCGGTTCAACGGTCCCTGCGTCTGGTTATTGCACTTTATTGTCATTGGAGCCCCGCACTAGCGATGACAGCCCTCCGAATGGCTTTCGGGGTCCTTTGGCCGGTTTTCTTTTTCCTTTTTCCTGTGTTCTATGTTTTGTTTTTTTTTTTTTTTTTGTCTTCTTTTTTTTCGGCTGGCCCAATCAATATTTAATTGACCCAT